TCTTTGACCTCTTTTGCAAAGAATTCATCTCACCAAACCATAAGAAACAAAAATTTGCCTAAATCTTGAACATCTTAATTCAAAAATTGCTGAAAATTTTTTTGTGGCTTTCTTGTGTATGGGAGTGACTTCCCTGCATTTCTGGGGACCACCGGGGCTCCCCATGGGCAGTGTTTGGGAGAAACCAGGAGCCAGGAACTGATTCCAGGGCCCTGAGCACTCCAGACACATGCTTCAGTTCCAGTTCTGAGCATCTTTCAAGGCAACGGTTGTGGAAGGTAATTTTATTATAGTAGAATCTAATCACATTTATTTATTTTTGCCCCAGAAATTATCCTGACTCCTGAGTTTTTGGCAGCAAAGAATTTACTCCCTCATTTACCTTTCCTGTTTATGCTACGAGAAACGCCAACTCTTTTAAGGTGGAATTTTCACTTGATTTCTTTTGATTCATTTCTGGTTTTGACTGCCTTCTTGGAATGGTTGAAACTGGACACACAACTGTAACAAAGGTTCTTCAAATGTGATCTTTTAGCCTAGCCATTAGGTATGTGGGAGGTTGAAATTGAGGCTGTCTTATTTTACTAGTGGATCAAGAATGTACACTTTGACGGTCCAACAGACTTTCATTGAGGGAACCAGAATGGCACAGGCCTATCTCTGAGGGGGCCTTTCTGCCCTGGCTGTGCTTTCTCAGCCCCTCACCACAGCAGTGAGGTGTCAAGATATGATCGATCTCTCTTCTCGGTGCATCCCATGACTGTGAATTACTTCTCTCTTGTCAGTTGAGCCTGCACACTTCTGGGGGTCTAGGGATTGTCTTCTGGGCGTCAGACTATCTTCAGCCCTTATTATTCTGAGGAGCCACTTGTGTGTGGATCAGTGGATCACAGGGAGTGGTTGTGTGCAAACTTGAAACACAGTTTCCCATTCTCCTGTCCCCGACCCCGAGCTGGCCCCTGGCTCGCATGGCACACCCCACAGAAGGGGGACCTCAAGGTCTCTTCTGCCTGCCTTCATTGAGCCTTGTCCCTGCCCATGTGTGAAAAGAGAGAGAGAGAGAGAGAGAGAGAGAGAGAGAGAGAGTTAGTCCCTGGCAGTGCTCCCATGTTGGAAAGCAGAACAGCGCATGAAAATTCAACTCTGGAGCTCGGCAGACCCTGGATCTCTGGTGGGCTGGGGACTCTCCGCTGATAGTGAGGACAGAAAAGAAGGAAGAAGGAAAGTGGTCTGTGAACTGGGTTCTCGAGTCCCTTGGGTTCTCCGCAGGTCACTGACAGCCACCTGTGTGCCACGTTAGTCAGAGGACTCTCAGGGATTCTAGGCTGTGCCAAGGAAACCATGGCCCATCTCTGCTTTTGGCTTCAGGAGCATCAAATGCTCTCAGGGATGTCCGCAGTTTCATCTGGTTCATGTGCCCTCTTGACCAGTTCCCGTTCTAGCTAACCTTCCTGAAAGGAATATTGATCTTTGTGGTTCCAGGCTGAAGGGAGTAAAAGTGAGAGTGGGTGAATAGAATCCAGGAGGATGTCCAGTGCAAGATTTCCAATCTTAAGCTGCATGAGTCTATAGAGACAAAAACTAAGACATAACCTTTAGACTTACTGCTTTTCCCAGGAGTGTACTGGTCATGGACTCGCTCTCTGAGCACCCAGTACTGTGGCTGCAGGTGCCTTGAAGCCAATTTTGTGATCAAGGCTCCATCCAGATCCCAGGGTAGACCTTGTCTCTTGTAAATTTAAACTCATATTATTTTGTTTTTGAATAAACTATCACATTTCAAGGTTAAAGTCTGAGTTTCCTGAAACAAAAAAGTCAATCCCTAGGTGGGGAAAAAATTGGAGAATCCTGAAATACTCCCTCACAGTAGCATTTCCCTTGCCATCCTTTAAACAAATTCTAAAAAATAGTCTCTTCATAGTAATAGGCAAATCTGGATGACATTCAACCAGGGAACCAGAGGAAAATCTCTGTTGAGGGACTCAGAGACAAGAATGACCCCCAGTTCTGTGTGTCTGGATTTGTTTTGGGGGCAGTTTCTGAGTTTTCTAGATGATGGGAACTAGCTGACCGGAGTTGATTGTCTAAAAAATCAAGAGATAAAATGATATGGCTTTTGATATGTCTCTACCAACTATATAGAGGAAAAGGAAATTCATTATTATCTTTCACTATCTTTTACACAATTTTGTGTCAGTTGTGTAAGACTGAACACTTCCATTTGTCTGCATTCTATATGGGGAGCAGAGAATTTTAAATTCTGGTTTTCTCATGGGTTCTGTACCCAATAATATCAGGGGCCTTTGGAATATATGAGAAAGCATTCCATGATCTTAGTAGTCAGCAGCGCTGGGGCTGCGTTGTTTTGTTTCTTATGGGTTCAAAAAGAAGTGTATTAAGAGCATGTAGTACGAAAGAAACATTGACTTTTTTTTTTTAACCTCATTTAAATTTTCTTGTCCATCTTAAGCTTTGCAGTTCCTTCTCAGGATCGTGTGTTTTAGTATGCTGTCTGCGGGTGGATAATAAGAGTCCCCAGCATTTGAATAAAACTGGAGAAATCCAATTCCGTTCTCAGTTTGGCTAGATGCCTTCGCCACTGTTTGTATCTGAGCTTTCACAACAGCCCCGCGGCCCCTGTCAGACCAGCTCTCACGTATGCCTGCCGGTTCCTACATACATATCACTTCTTTCTCTGTGACTTGAAATTTTCAAGTTTCCCAGAACACAACTATGGCCATCTTTTGTTGCTATTGCTGTTTCCTCTGGTTGTTATATTTCTATCAAGACAGGGTGAAACAACAAATGTTAAAAAAGAGAGAGAGAAAGAGAGAGAGAGAAGAGCAAAGACATCCACTTGTAGAGCTTTTGAAAAAATAGTTTTTAGTCTCTCATAATCCCATTTGCCTTATTATTACTGAATAAATAGAGGGAAAATTATATATGTGTCTGTTGTATATAAATACAGATATATGTACATATATGGTGGGATTAAAATTTTTTTCCATTTGTTTAAAAAGAAGTTATTAGTTGTAACAATTTTTTTGTCTGAAAGCAGAACATTGCTAAGTTATCATATAGAAAGTTAAGTTTTCTAGTGTTATTTCAAAGAAATTGTTATTTGTGTCTATTTTTTAATGTAATGAGGAAGAATTTTCACTTTTAAAAAATTAGTTATTTTCTTTATTTTAGTTATAGATATTATTAGTTTTAAGATATTCAGAACAAAAACACTGAAGGTATGCCCTTTTCGTATATTTAATTTGTAATTTTTAGGATGTTTCTCAGAATATTATGTTTGATGTTTTAATAGAAAATCACAGATTTTTCCTAATCAAAGATATGGTATTCTTGGTGTAGTTGTAAATTGTTTGCTATAAAATAGGTATTGATTTATGGAGTCAAAGTTCCAATATGGTCCAATAAATTTTTATTTCCAGTGCTGGCTTTGTAGTTCACTGTACAGCTCATTCTAAAACATTTTTCTAAAGCATCTGACCCATAATGCTTTTTTTGTATCTTTACTGATTGTTGCAAGATGACTAAAGCTATCATTTTGGCATACAAATAAATTCATATTTTCACATATTTTTCTGTTTGAACCTTTGAATCAACCTAGGATTTTTTTTTCATAAACACCAGGTTGAGAGCCACTGAAAATTTAAAAAAGGGTATTTTATTTATAGTCCCTCCATATAATTAAAATATCTGTTTGTTTAGAAACAGAGAGTCTTTTGAAAAATAATTACCATTCTCCACTTAGGATCACTTCTGTTTTGTAGTGCTACTTCTTTTTAGCAACTAAAGAAAAAGAATGGCAATATTCTAGCTGTGTTGAAATGGAATTAATATTTTTATTTGAATCACAGTAAAGTGTCAGGCCTTTTGAGCTTGCATTGAACTTCTTGCTGAAATTTGGTCAAATTTCAGACAGTTCTAACCCTGTGAAGTCAAGATATAGTTCAGATCCAGAAATCCCACAGTTAGAGGGACTTTTATAAAAGCATTTGTTTATTTATTTTTAGATAATGTTATAAACTGATTGGGACCTCAGAAAATGCTTTCTATAAAAAAGATTCCCCTTATAATATTTTGTCTGATTTTTGTGTCTCTTCTCTTTTGTGTGTCTTTATTATAATTTTATGTATTATAAAATGCTCACTTCAAAGTTAGTGAAATTCTTTTGATCTATTTAATTAAAACTAAATTCTACTTGATTTCAAATTATTTATTTTAGAAATTAAGAAAATGGACATTTCTTTTTTAGTTTTAACATTACTGTATATTTTTTAGGTAAATAAGTGTGATCCAGTTATAAGAACTTGTTCTTGTAAAAAAGCTCTTTAGGGTATCCCATCCACAGAGGGAAAAAAAAATTATACTTACCCAGTGGAGAAAATATGTACCTTTCAAATGATCTTTTAAGTTCTGATGTCATTTCAAGTGAATGTGCTAGAATATTAGGACTCCAGTATTTAGTGGTGCTCGTCTGCATAGTCTGTTGCTGTAATGCAGAGCTAAATATCAACAGAACTTGTTACTGTTGTTTGGGTTGCTTTTATATACCAGCTTCAAAATATGTTTTGACACTTTATTATGTTCTGAATCAAGCTTCAGATGTGTGTAATGAAGGATGAAGTCTTTATCAGGCTCTCGTGTATAAATAATGGAGAAGAGCTGTGAGGAAAGGGTCTGTCTCTAAGAGAATGGCTTCTGAAGACTTTCAAGTTGCGATCTGGCGCAAGCCAAAAGCCACTGGAGGTGTAAACAAAATTGAGTGTCCGCTCTAATGACACAGACGGTGGCCGTGGCTGCTGCCGCGGCCGCTGTTCCTAAACTGCCCCCTCCCCTTCTTTTCTCTGTTCTTTTCTTCATTATGTCATCTCTATCATGTTCTTATTCCAAGTTTAGAGGCTGCACCTTTTGAGAAAGTCTGGCACCTCTCATCCACTTGCCTTCGCAGACCCTAAAATTTTTGGCTGTATTTTTATGTTTTTCAGATTCAAGTCAATCTGAAAGTCCCAGCCAGCCAAGTGACGCTGACATTAAGGACCAGCCAGAAAATGGTAAGTTTAGCTGGGGACTTTGGCTGCTGCTCTGAGAGTCCATAGTAGCCAAACAGCTAACCAGAGTCAAGGATTTGGGGGTCTGCCCTCGGGGCAACCCACAAATTCCTGCCCTCACCCCCAAAACTGTCAGAATACTCAAGAAAGATTTAGTCCCCAAGAAATGGAGAGGTGGGATTGATTTACCCTATCAGAATCTTTGACAGCATAGGTAAGGAACCAGGACTTTTTCATTTCATTTTAGTCCCATTTAAAGTGGTAAAAAGCTCCTGATCTTTTCCTTACCACAGCGATTTTAAGATTATTGATTGACAAGTATTTTTGAGTGCTCTTAGGAGCTTAACCCTTCGCTAATTACTTTAAGAAAGCAACCTCTGCCTTCAAAGGATTTTCCACTTCAAATAGTCTAAAGCATAAACAGTAAGAGTCCAAGGCAGTATTCAGTCTCTCCGTTGCGTAAATACATAGACTTTCTGTTGCAGAAATTCAATATAAAGAGTGTCTGTTTTCTATACAAGTATAGTAGTTTCTGGTAAAATACTAAGGATGTGGTTCACACCCAAGTCTGAAAAAGATTGTCATAAGGTAGGAATTTAAGATTTAATAAAACCATCAGTTGAATGAATGAGTCGTTTCTATCCTATGCCAAGCATTTTGTTAGGTGCATTCAGCGAAGCATCTCATAGAGTTCAGAGTGCTCTCTATATTGGTGAAGGAACAGAAGGGTCCAGAGTGAATGCTTGACCTTGAAGGGCCTATGAGTGGACTTTAACATCGTGATTAACTCCAGCTATAGCTGGAGAGAGAACTCAAAGGGCTGGCATGCATGTTTTGCATGTAGGAGCCCAGGAGCTTGAATCCTGACACCCCTCCCACACCCCCTGGTCCCGGGGAGTACCACCGTGAGTGACCTCCCACCGCCATCCTCCCCCCGCCCCCGACCTCAAAGAACAGGGTTAGGAGTAGTCCTACAGGGTGTGGCCCAAATAAAAAAAATACCAACTCTGCTATTGGACCCGTGTTCAAAAGCTTCCCTCCGCTATACGTTATCTTTGAAATACTGAATTTAATAGGTTATTTAACCTTCCCAAGTGTTAGTTTATTCCTCATCTTTGAAATAGTATAGTAACAATATCTTAGAGGAATCAAATTATAGAATGTATACAATGGGCTTACAGGATACCTTTCATATAATTTATACTAAAAAAAGTTATTCATTACACTATTTATCTAGTTGATATAACCCCTACCACCTACTTAGATTTTTATTTTTAATAACATCTCTTCCTGTAATGGTTTTACACATTTTTTTTCTATTTTTATCTCATCTGCCCTCAATAAGAAAGCAGAATTATGTCAGTGTGTGGCCTGGAGGACTGAGTTGACCACATTCTATCCTAACCTTTGTTTTTTGGGATTTGTTTCTTTTCCCAAGCTGGGGAAGGTCTTTAGAGTGTTGTTGGGTTCTAGCATTGCATATGGACTCTTCCTATTCCTTGTCTCATTCTGGTATTTTGCTGGTATTTTCCTTTTCAAAGTTGTCTTTTCAAAGCAGGCATAAAAAGTGAGAGAGAGAGAGAGAAAGAGAGAGAAAGAGAGAGAGAGAGAACGCATGAAAGACTTGTTTCTTGTGTCATAAACAGCTACATCTTATTTTTTATTGACATTTAAAAGAGATATTTATAGGCTAGTCTCATTCTTTATTTTCTACTTACAGACGATGCCTTAAATTTATATACATATAATCTCCTTAAGTTATGTCCAGAGTTACTCATTTTATTTTTATTTTTAACAGTTTGTGGGCTTGAGGGGTATGTGGTTCACATATCTAGGTCTGGCTGCCCCTTAGCAGGACTGCGATTCATCTGTCTTCATAAAATGGCCGACAAGCTGTTCACATGCAAATATAAATTGAGAGCAGGAGAGCCCTGGCATGCTTTTCTGGAGCTGCCTGTAAAACCCAAGTCTTGCATTTCCCATTCCAAAAAGCAACCAGAACTGAGCCTAGATTTTTCGGCCTAAGGCATGGAGATGCTAGCCAAGTTCACTTTTAACCCCCCATTCCATGGTGCTAGCACAAGGATTAACAATATGCTTTGGGGGAGAGTCTTGTGAGTTCAAAGAATGTATTAATATCGTGGAGAGGAAGCAATAAATTCTTACATTTCAAAATTTCTTCGGATGTTAAAACTAAGCAGAAGCTCCTTTCACTTCTACAAAGACCAACTGAAGCTCAGAGGAGAGAAACATTAGCTTCCTCAGTTTCCCCTACCTGCCTCTTGTCAGTCTCAGATAAAGTTATCGTAGGGAAAATGATCCTTCAGACTGAGTAAGAGGATGATTTTAGGCATAGGCATTTGCATGCCTTAGGTAACTTTTACAGTGTTCTTTCTTTTCGTTACCTTAGCTTATGGAAGGATGAGTCCCTGAGAGGTTTTTTTATGAGTTTGATTCTATTTTGTTTTGAAAGAGCGAACCCTGATAAACTCTAGGACTTTGAGAATCCTGATGCAGTGAATAAGTTTCAGGCTCATTTCTCCTCCTTTGGCGGGGCAGGGGGTTATGCCAGGGGGGAGGATAGTATTTATCCCAGCTCTTGAGGAGAAAGACAATAGGGAGCAAATGGTATTTTTCCTAGTAAACCATGGAGAATGAACAGACAGATGGGAACATGATGTTTCATCTCGAACCATGGGGCGGAGTAACTTCACCTTCCATGCCTGCAGCTGTTTCCTCTGGTTCTGATGGTTGTTTTCCTGTGTCGTTTTTGCTTTCTTTTCTTACACTCCTTAATATGCAACTGTAAAGGAAAACAAATTATCATCCAATTAGACTATTAGATGAAAAATTTGAAGGGATTTTCAGAAGCCAAGAGACAAAATACCAGAAATCTTATACTTAGAATTGGTACCATGAAGAAAAACTTGCCCTCTCGAGCCAAAATTACCTGAGTTTAAATTTAATAATGACCGGGTGACTTTGAATGTCCCAGTCTCAAATTTCCTAACAGTAAAATAGAGATACTCTCAGGGCAATGAGAATATGCCTGTTGAATGGCTTAATGCTGGTTCGTAGTCAGAACTCAAGAAAGGTAACTATTGCCCCTCTCCAGTTAAAGCTTGTCATGTTCTATATTAAGCCCACTTACTCACCAGAGGAATAGAAGGAGGATGTTTCAGAAATCAACCAGGCCTTTTAGAGAAATTGTTTTCCTCTCTCTTTCCCTCCCTCTCTTCCTCCTTCCCTCATTTCCTCTGTCCCTTTGTCCCTCCATCCATCCCTCTATCCCTCCTTCCTTCTTGCTACCCCAGGTCTATGCACATATCAGACATGTACTCTCTACCATTTGAATCATCTCGACCCCAGCACTGTTGGGTGTACTCCACACCTCCGCCTTCCCCAAAATGACAAGCTTCCAGAGAGCCAGACTGACTCAGTCTGTGGGGGAATGGGAGAGTCTAGCACGGACACTACATCTTTTGTAGTTACTGTATCTGTTCCAGAATGCCAGACATCAATCTCCTAAGTCTGTCCATAATCTTCCCTTTCCACATATATTTTATGGTGTGGCTCTATCGTCAAATTCTTTTTGTCTACCAGGAGTTGAGAATGACCGACTAATTTCCAGAATAGCTAGAGCTTTTAGAATGCATGCTCAAGGAAAAGATGATTCTGGAGAGAAACAGTTCTTCCTAGATGGCTTTAATTTTAGCTGATTTCTCACGCTTGGCACAAACCACATAGAATGGGGTTTATTAAAACGCTAAGCTGATTTTCAGGAGTAAGCCCTGAGCACCGCCAGGTGTGGACCAAAAACCAAAGGGAAAAAAATGATTAAAAAAACTATAAGCTGATTAAGAGTAGGTTTCATACAAATTGCTTAAAAAAAATAACCCGATCTCACATTGCATAGTTCTGAGCCTTGAACTCTTTAGGTGCCCAGTACTTAATTATTTAATGCATAAAATTAATAAGTAGGTGCATATGCTATCCTTATCCCCAGATATTTTTTGAGTGTCTGTTCGCTATTGGTCTGCCAGGAGGTTTTTAAGAAAGATCAAAGAATCAAAGCCAGCCCAGAAAATCCAGTCCCTGGAGAAACTGAAAATCCAGCTTTGGTGCAGGAGAAAGTTGTCTAGGAATGTGGCACAGGCACAGAGGTGACTAATAGTGCTGGACACCAAAGCCAGAGACTGCGCTCAGGTTGATCATAGACCAAAAACTACTGTCAACCACCCACTCCAGCAAGAGGGTGAAAGCAGAGACGTGAGGTCGCATCCTGCTGACTTGTGCTTGCTCACTGACCAAAGGGAATGCAATCCTGACAGATCTTTCAGTCTGGCTAGCAGATTCACTTAGTCTTTTTGCATGTGGCTGAAACCTTATTTCTGGCTTCTTAAGAGCACCTGAAAGCTTTCTAGCCTATGTGTTGGGCTTTGGGCTGGAGCGATAGCACAGCGGTAGGGCATTTGCCTTACAAGCAGCCAACATGGCCGACCGAGTTCGATTCCTCCGCCCCTCTCGGAGAGCCCAGCAAGCTACCGAGAGTATCTCGCCCGCAAAGCCTGGCAAGCTACCCGTGACGTATTCAATATGCCAAACACAGTAACAACAAGTCTCACGATGGAGACGTTACTGGGCCCGCTCGAAAAAATCGATGAACAACGGGAGACTGTGATCATGACCGTGTGACCATGTTGGGCTTTGACTTAGAACAACTCTTCAGATCATCTTTGTCTGTGCCCCTGATATGCCTTGGCTTCTGTTAAACTATTTTGGGGTGAGGGGCAGGGGAATGGAGCATCTGACATTTACACGTGCCTGTGTAAGACATTTTCATGGCCTGTGTAGAGCTTATAGTCTGGGGGTCATCGGTCAGATCCAACATGATGAGGGGCAAGCTTGGGTCTTGACCTCCCTGCTTAATTCAGGACTGTTTCATGGAGGCTGAAGAGATGACTCAAAGGACTGGTGTGCATATCTTGCATGTGGGAACTCTG